AGCTGTAGCTGTTGTGCTTGTATTATCACATTCATTAATCTGTGGGCTATGGCAGCGGTCCCCAACCTTTTTATCAATGCGGACCAGTCAAAGCTTGACAATCTTACCGGGGGGTAGATTGTTTATATTGTTAATATAATAATAATAAACGTGAATCCACTGTGTTGAAAACTTGAACTCCCCATAACGCTAAATCAATGGGAGCCCTGAGCTCGTTTCTCTGCAACGAGACGGTCCCATCTGGGGGTAATGGGAGACAATGACACCCAAAGTGTGTTGCTTATGTTCAGTCTACTCCGTTGTTTTGTTTTGGTTGCTGTCACTGCAGAAAAACCCGCTTCACAGATAGGATGTCGGAAATGGCAACAGGGTTTTCAGTGCTGTGGTGGCGATCTCAGGGTATTCTGTCATGACTTTAATCCAGAACACCGACAGAGTTGTTGTCTCGAACATACTTTTAAGGCCGCCGTCATTTGCGATCTCCAGCAGTTGATCTTCTTCTTGCACAGACATGCTGGATTCACCTGGTTTGTTGACAAATGGGTTGCGGATCCATTCCTTGGCAGTTCGTGGGTCCTTTGTGGTTGGGAAGTAGCGCTCGAACTCTTTTAAAAGCAAAGACAGGTGATCGTGCACCAGCTGGGAGAATGAAGGCTCAGGCTCAGTCTCACCCAAAATCCCCGCTAATGTTTGAAACATGTCCAAAATGCCGCTGTTGACGCGCCGTCCCCACAAATCCAGTTTGGCTTTAAATGCAACTACTTTATCTGCCAACTTGAAGACAGTTGTCATTTTCCCCTGAAGTGACGGATTGAGTTCATTGAGCAGGCTGAATATGTCGCACAAGTAAGCCAGTTTTGGCGCTCAAGTGACCGAGATGTAACCGAGAGAATGCGGTCATTTTTCAAAATAAAAGATCGTTCAGACTCAGATAATAAATAAAACGGAAATAATTAATGATTTCTTGTGCGGCCCGGTACCAATTGATCCACGGACCGGTACCGGTCCGCGGCCCGGGGGTTGGGGACCACTGGGCTATGGGATGAGATGTATGTGTGGTGGTTCACGTTATATGTATTGTGCTTGTATTATCACATTTATGGCATACCCTCCACAGGGACTGGGGGACATGCCCCAACACCAAAATATGAAATATAGGCCCGTTATTACAGGTTCTACCCTGTATAACACTCGTGAGAGAGAAGTGGAGACTACTCTTACTAATGAATGAACAAGGAGCAACTGGTGTGACCGCCTGTAAACATCCAGATTAATCACTGGCACAATGGCCGCATTGCAGTGACGAATTTCTCTGACAGTCGCTAGTTTGCAGTGTTTACACGTCACCATTTGGTATCGCCTCAGCTCACTTGGAACCTCGACAGAGGTGATGTCAAAATAGTATCAGGTACTACCCCCAACGTTTGACTGATGGAAACACAAATAAGACAAGAAGAGTTGATTCGAGTCAAGCTGGTACCAGGTGGTGGAACAGGAGCTTTCACACTGGCTCCGGTGTGCCAGTGAAACAGATTTTTAGTTTATTTCAAAAGCTAGTATTTAAACAACAATCTAATGTTGGACTACACCCATACTCCTTTGTGCAGTTAAAGTCGACGTAAAAGTCATGCTAATTACAGTTAGCTAGCCTTATACAGAGAACTTGGCAGGCTATTGTGGCCTGTTTCATGCTAATTAGCATGTTGGTGGTTAGCTTGCAAAACAACAGTAGTTCAGCAGCTAGCAAGGTTTCAGGTTTTTCACATTTCACAGGGTGAGCAAAGAAGGCAGTTTAATATTAAAAAAGTCATCAGAACTGGAGACATGATTGTGACTGAATGTTGACAACAGAGAAAATAATTTATAAATATTAAATAATCATGAATAACATGAATTTAGAGAAGTGGCTGTGTTAAGGAAACATAATTTGGACTCCAGCTGTCATCTTTGTTTTGCTTAACCACAACTTGTGGAAAGTGTTAAAAACCTGTTTTTCTGTTGACCTGGCAGGACAGAAGAGTTTATAAAGATATCAAAATGTATCACACTGCTGGAACATGCTGTTTATTTTTATTCTTATTTCCTTATGATGTAAATTTTTGTTTATTATTTTTGTCATAATCAGCACAAAAATCTCAGCTGTTAAAATGATGACACTAAAGTCACTAAGACTTGTATAAGACAGTATTTTCACAAATGTAAAACCGGTGTCACTGATCTTTTTGTCTCGATGTTAACAGCTGCTCCACCAAAGATCGAAGCTCTACCGCAACACGTCAGCGCTGAGCTGGGGAAGTCCCTGACTGTGGCAGGGGTGTTTTCTGGAGACCCCGCCCCCTCCGTCAACTGGGTCCGCTTTGGTCGGACCCTCCCCGACGGGGATGAGCGGTACCACGTGGAGAACACCACTGACCTCTCCACCCTTGTGATTTCTGCAGTAAAGGAGGACGACGCCGGGGTGTACACTCTCCGTTTGTTCAATATGCTTGGCTCCGACTCCGCAACTGTCAACGTTCACATTCGGTCTATGTAGAAAAATAATTTTTAAAAAGTTAATTTCTATTCCCCATTTCCCTCATCCAGAACCTTTTTATTTAGTGAACTAGCAATCAGTAATTTACTTGAGAAAGATCTGGATTTCTGTTCTTGTAAATATGAACTATTTTTGTACCAATCTTGACATTAATTTATGCCAAAGTAGACTAAAGTCTAAAGTTGTTATAAAATGTGCCATATTGGATAACTATGACTTAGGATGTTTGATCCATTTTTCTGTGACATGTACATAATGTATATAGCCGAATTTAACGGTTATGGGAAATGTATGCATTGTTATTTATGACAATAATATTAACAAACAAAATGAAACTAAATGTGGTTTAACAGGAGAAAGTTTCACCAGGAACGAATACCCTGTTAAACTGAGAAACTAAACTCTGTGCCTCAACGATAAGTTGAAGTCTTAAGATTGCCTCAACAGGTAGAGAGGCTCCCTGTTGACGTTATGAACCTGAATCAGGAAGACAAAGTTATTGTTTTGGATACGCGTCAGTGCGTGCGATATTACAGTTGTCAGTGAGTTGTACTGTGAGCATTAAGACCCTGAGTGCTGTTTGCATTACCCTCATGTAAGCAGCATGAACTGGCCTTGTACTCAGACTGACTGTGTCATACTACCATGACTTGATGACCTGCTCAGAGTGCGAGCGGCCTGCACTCTCAGCATTTAGTTCATTATAATAAAGAGCGCTGTTTCTGGCACAGGACGGCCGGATTGGCTTTTTAAAACATAACATCTCCTGGCCATAAATAAAGGGAAAGTCAAGGCCAGCTCTGCTGTGCAGAAGCAGCGCCATCTCTTGGAGGATAGTTACGTAACATGTTTGTGTGTTTGTGTGCGAGTGTTTGTAGCTTTTAGTCAGTTCACCTTGTCAGTAGTCAGGGTCTTCATTCACCACAGTGTTTCCATCCACTGTGAAAGAAAAGAAAAGGAGTATTGTTTTGCCCTGTACTTTGATTTAATTGATCTGTTGATGTAGAACTATATTTCATCCTCCTTGAGTTTTATGCATTTCTGAATTAATAAAGCATGATTTCAGCACTACACATACGTTTTCTCCTTATTGTCCTTAATTTACTGTTTGAATGTTTTTTCCGGCTGAACTCTTGAAAGGTTTCCAGTGGCAGACCACACTGAAGTATAGTTCTGAGGTACATTGGTTTTTCCGTGGCAGTGTACTTTTGGATGGATTGTTATAAAGTCTGGTTTCCGTCAGGTTGCTCTGTAAGAATTTGGGCGATCCTCTGACTTGACTTCTGCTAACATTATCTTGAACATTTTAAAAGATGCAGTCAGTGGTGTCTGTCACTCCCCACAAACCCCGTCCAGAGGTCAGCAGTAAATGTGTTTGCACAGTAATGTTTGAGTCCAGACCCTGGTCCAGCTTATCGCTTTGTTCCGTAGACTGCCACTGTTGTCCACCAGCTATTAAACCCCCCTCCTCCTCAGGAAACACGGGAGGCCCTCTGTTTCCAACACAGCTCCACAGGATGAGAACAGCTGATGATGTTGATGATGCTGTGGATAAAGCTGTAGTGATGATGTGTGAGCACCAGGTGTCACTGCAGAAAAAGAGTGAGGCCAAAGATCCTCAGAGAAGTGAGGGCGCTTCCATCGCGTGAATCTGTTCTGGTCAGGACTGTGCGGAACGACACACTGCTTAAAACACATGCCCAGCATTTCATCTGCAGGTTCAGTCTGTCACATATAGTCAGCTGTTTAACCCTTCTCTGTCTCCAGGATTTTATCTGACAGGTCACAGGAAGTGGAGTACTGGTGCCTTCAAAATAAAGGGTGAACTCTGTCTTTAATGCAGTAAAAGTTTGATTTGGCTGTGTAGTGGTTAAAAATAAACAAGGTTCCAGAGGTAATATGTAATATTCATATATAGATATTATTTGTAATAGTTATGTAACGCTGAGCTAAGTGTTTATGGATGCTTGATCTGTTTCTCTTCTCTTGCTCAAGAAAGAATATCTTGGGCTGGGTCCCCCTTGTTTAACTTATGGGTCAACATCCTGAGCGACTTCCTCCTTAAATGGGGAATGGATATAGCTGCAGCCTTATGTGAACTGTTCGTGTTCTCTGTTCAGGTTTATAAAAAGGAAATGTCCGCTAGGTCAATGTGACCTAGAAGGTCATGTACTGGACATCTTAAGACAATGCTTGGAAGAAGGGATGTGGAGCAAAATGACTTGTTCCCTTGCAAAACCAGTCAAGCCAATTAAAAGAACCAGTAATGATGTGAGGGCACGTTAAATTAAATGATTTATTTCAACACAAACCACGCTCTCTCCTCCACCAGCTTCTCACTGAACGACGTTTAGTTTTGCACAACTGCAGCAGGTTTACACATCTGTATTGTTCGCAAACATGCTCGGGATTTTATTGTGAAAGTGTGTTCCGGAAGCTCAGTGTGCTGTCGTCTTTTTTATTTTGACACTCTAGAGGTGTCCGCAGAGCAACGCAGCGCAGATTCTTTTCTGCGGATTTTCAGGTTCCACTGAACGAACCTGCAGTTGGATCCGAAGTAATTCCGGACAGCACAATCTGGACCGGACCGAGCTGGACCGAGTCGGGTCGGAATACAGTCAGAAATACAAAGAGAAGGGGAGAGAAAGACAGCCTGCATCATCATCTCCCGCATAACGGACCGGAGTCTTCCTCACCGGTAGGAACCGTTTTTATTATACGCACACGCACGTCGGGCAGTCTCACGGTAACGGGTGTCCGGTGTGTGTGTGCGTGTCGGGGGGGAGGGGGGTTCGCGCGCCACTCCCTTCCAGCCTCAGCCATAATAAGGTTAAACGTACCTGCACACAGACACACAGGTGAGTTGTAATGTCTGGTGCGAGCTGTGGCACAGCGCGCATGCAGCTGGATCGTGAAGGTCACACCGTCGGCTCCTGTGCATGCACGGTATAGTGACATAGTGCGTAGAGAGTACTACAGAGACGTGTAGCGGTACTACAGTGGTACACAGACCGGGGGGTCATCGGGACAGACTCCTCTCAGAGCGATATTACTGGTGTGTTGTTAACTGTTATAGTGATATTTAAATATTATTGAAATATTAAAACAATAACATTAACATTTAGTGTATATCTGCTAAAGGTATCTGTATTATTTATTGTATTTGCATTAAATTATATATTGTTTATTTATTTGTTATTATTCAGTGTTGGTATATTATAGAAATATATACATCTCAACATTAATGTGGTGTTATAGTGGTATTATATAGATTTTATGGCGCTAATATAACAACATTATTGACATTGTATTGTGGAGGTATTATGATAACAATGACTGCAAGGATTTGGGGGTCTGATGATCTCTGGGGAGGCCCCCCTGCTCCAAGAGTGTCTGTTATAGAGTTGGCAGGGTTTTAGTTAATGTTGTTTTAAGTGTTCAGCAACAGAACAACATGAAATAAAATAAAATGAAATTGTTTTTCAGAGGAGAAGATGTCAGGATCATCGGACTCGGGACCAGAGGTGCCAGACTGTGTTTCAGAGTCTGTGTGAGGTCTGCAGGGACTCAGACCTGAGAGCTGGACCCAACATGGCCGCTGTGCGTGCAGCTGTGTGTCTGTGTATGCTGCTATTGCCTGCTGTGGCCGGTCAGTTCATATTAATGGCATATCTTACATCACAGTACAGCCCTGACTCATTTAGCCTAGCTTAGCAGAAAGACTGGAAGTAGGTGGAAACTGTTAGCCTTACATGTTTCCACACACAAGCAAACACAAACCTCACTAAATACAGGATTGTGAAGCTTAAATATAGTATTTGTTGTATTTGTGTTTCTTATATTACCCAGATCTGTACTGATTTCCAGAATGACATCATGGCAGCGATTTTACACAAAGACAAAACAATAAACTTAGAGTGTTACAGAAACAGAACTGGCGGTTTTGGCACACACTCACATCCTGGCTTTCTTATATAAACACTGACACACACACACACTTGTCCTGCTCTAACCGTGAGGACTAGCCAATGGGTCCTACAGTCAGATTGGTTCCCCCCTACAGTGTACTTGCAGTCGTCAGCCAGACTGTATCAGAACTTGTGTTGTTGTGATGTGTTGATGTGACACAGACGCACACCCCGCCTTCCTCTCCCTATGCGTGTGTGTTAGCAGTAGACTAAATATTGCGACTACGCCTGGCTCCGACGGTCTGGGGAGGGGCCACAGATAGATTCCTGTGAGGTGACACTGACCCCCTCCCCGATCTGAACCATGAAAGAATTTAGGATTTACTGGACCTTTGCTGACCTGAAGCAGCAGAAACTAAAACACGTGAAGAACCTGCCTGAGAGTCCTTGTGTTTCTAAGTTTCCTTAAGTGTCACAGTGATGCAGTGATAGTTGTGTGTCTGTCCATGGGGGCACACAGGAGCTGCTCGCTGCTCGTCCTGCTGCCATTAGTGGGGATGCTCTGACTGCATGTGAACTCATACCGGATGAAAAAGGAGCATGGAGCCTGGAACAGTAGCTACCTTGCTGACATGAGGCAGCTGTCACTGGGCTGACAAGTGACCAGATTCAGATCAGCGTCCAGTCATGTCAGTTTTTATTTATTTGTCTGAATCTGAGCAACTTCCAACCAAAGTGCATGAAAACTTTGCTGCAACTTTCGTCTGTGAACAAAGAGCAGTTGTGGATGTAAAGTTAGGACATTGGATTAATGGAGGTCTGATACAAGAACAGCCTGAGGCGTCGCTCTGCTGTGCTGTTGTTTCCTCAGCTCCACAAAATGCCAGAATGCATCATTTGTGGCTGTCAGACTCTTCCTTGCACTGAGGCCAGTGTGTGTGTTGACTTTCACATAGTTTGTGGATTTCCTCATACACCCTGCTCAGCAGAACAGCTCTGGAGCAGGAGAAAGGTGTAAATATACTCTGACTGTGACCACACCGGTCAGACCACATCTGGACCAGCTTTACTTTAGTAAAAGTACGAGCACCACGTGATAATTAGGGCTGCAGTGGGTACCGGTTGCACAGTATACCATGGTGTCAAAGTGGATGCTCTTCATACCGTGCACATTTGCTCATTACCAGTACTGAAGGAAAAAACACAATGTGTGCATGCCTTTCTTCCCTGACTACCCGTCAGAGTCCGCAACAGGCGCCACATGCACATGACGTGCAGCCAAGGAAACGGCAGAGTGAAGCTGATGTCACCAAGCTCAGTCCACAGGAAATTAAAATCAGCAGCCTGGCATTATTTTGGATATTGCAAAACCAACACCTTCAGAAGCAGCCTCCCTCCATGCCGATCACTGTGTGTCCCTTTTAGAGCGTAATCCTTAATCTTTTAGTGCCAGTGAATTAGCAACTATTCTGGTGATCCTTTGGAGCATTTCTCACTCCTGTCAGATGTTTGACAGACCAGTCAGTTGATTAAAGTAATCAGCAGTTTGATCTCTAATAAAAATGTCAATGTCAGTTTATTTATAAAGCACACTAACAAACATTTGTTGACCAAAGTGCTGTACATAGTTTAAGACGTACATCAGTGCAGACAAAAAAATAGAGGCATAAATTGAAATAAAGATTAATAATGAGTCTTTAGCCGAGATTTAAAAAACAGATGGAGTCTGTCAAATATGAAGGGGGCAGCTTGTTCCATAGTTTTGGGCCAGCGACTGCAAAAGCACGGTCACTTTTACGTGTTCTCCACATCTTTATAATGATAATCATAATAAATAGGTGCACGTGGATACAAACTAGTTGAGTCAGACCCTACTTTCTCACCAGTACACGAGTGACATTAGTGTGATGATATAACATTAACAGTGTAACAGTCACAGGGGATGTTTTTTCTGCATCAAGGCCTTGTAACAAATGAAAAGGCTTCAGTTATAGAACATGTTAGAGTGACATGCTGTTTTCCATCATGTCTATTATTAGAATCCTGTTCATTTTGATCGAGCTGGTTTGATCTTAGAAAAGCCAGGACTGACTTAATCCTGGATGAAGTGTCTTTTGCTTTACATAGAGACACAAAGAGCAGAGAGCTGAAATCATGATCTGCATCCCTTTGATTGGCTGAGCGTTGATCATGTGATTGCAGTTACATGAGGTAGGTATGTTAGGATCCCTCCCAGCGTGCACCTGGGTAATAGACCCATGTTGATAACTGTCATTTGTCAGCGAGGCTGTGAATACGGGCCTCGAAGAGCACCGAGATACAGAGAAGGCAGAGGAGAAAGAGGAAGTTCCAGGGGAGGTTGGAGAGGATGAAAGAATTAATACTAAAATGCTGTGGCAGAATGCTTAGAAAAGTTAAGTTTTCAATAAGTAAAGATAATCATAAAATGATTTGTGTGTTTTGTTTGACATAATCATTAGTGAATGTGTTAAATAAAATGTGAAATGGTTGTATTGAAAGGACGGGGAAGACTGATTTTACATCTAACAGAGTGGAAAGTACAGAATCACACAAGAGGAAGCAGACACATCCCTAAAATGAGAAACTGCAAAGGTTCGTGTGTGCCTGCCACACAGAAGAGACACACACCATACTGAGGAAGTAACAAAAATCATGTGTAAGCACAAAAGTAAAGATTTGACTGATAATTGTTTGATCAATGTCTAATCAATGATAATCCATGTTAGTCACAGTAAAGTATTCAAAATATAAAGATTTATGTTCTGATTTTAAAGCATTGATAGGTTTGTGTGAAACTAGTGTGTGATTCTGATTGTTCTGTTAAAAAGCAATGATGGAAATTTGGTATTTCAGTCAGATGTGAGTTTCTTGTATTTTTGGTATGTATTCAGATGGTTTGGTTTTCTAGAAAAGAAAGTGAGTTAACACTTTTCAGTGATAATGGTTAAGACACACATCTCTCAGTGTTTGGTTACCCAATTTCCAGTGAGTTGGGGTTACATAAGTCTTAGTGAGTGTGTGAGGTGGCATAACAGTTCACAGGGTTAACAGGAGGCACAGACTGAACTGCTGAAATGACTTTTAGACAGCTTCATCAGAAAAGGGCTTATCTAAAATATCCAACTGTTTACTTGTTACATAATACACACTATTCTTTAAACATCCTATCCTCAATAACATCTTAGGTCAACTAAATACTGTGCAAAACAAATATGGTCTTAAGTGTACAGTGACACAGCTTTTATTGGTTATTTCAGACTAAATTTAACACTTCCTCAAAGAGCCAGAGTGTACTGGTTTATAAAAGTTTCTCAGTACAATAACATCTGAGGGTTTAAGGAGGTAGCTGCCACAATAAACTGCAGGTTGTTGTTATTTAGGAGGTTTGGGGTCTTATCCTGAATTAATAACATGAAAGAGGGAGGTCTGCAGGGAACTCTGTTCGCAGGTTCATGGTAGTCAATTACTGAGTGAATATCTTCGTCATACAACCTCAAGCAGTGTTTGGAGCTTTAATATGTTTCAAATATGCCACCTTAGTGTGAGAGGTTAAGCTTTATTCCTATGTCCAGGGGTTAGCATATCGTGGCCTTCAAACACATTTTAGGTTCGCTGTCATTTCCAGAATGTTTCAAGTCAGTCAGCTGGACCCATCTAATCCATGTCAAGAACATGTGGCAAGAGGACCTGGACACAAAACTCAGTCATAATAAAATGCCTTTTCTAATGGACCAGCACACCCCTCTACTGGAAATTGGTTGGTGACTGGATGCTTCGGAAGAAGGATGGGAGAAACATCCCATGAGTTGTGTTTCCTGGCTTCCACTCTGCTGCACCTGTTTGTTGCATCTTTTTCTCTCATCTGGGGCAGAAGTAAGACGCAGGGAAAAAACACGAGTGAGGGAAACATGGACGCATCTAAGACAATTGGGATTTGCCCCAGGAATAATTATTTGATCTCTGAGAGCTGCACAGGCAACTTTACATTAAAGTGCAAGAGAGAAGTGGCAGGTAGGGCTCTTTGCCTGTTTCTGACGGCGGAGATGGTGTGAAGGACCTTCAGTTGAGGGACCTGCTCCAGGTCTCTGCTGAGTGTTTGTTACTGAACCAGAGTCTTTGTGCAGGGCTGCAGTCCGAGGACCGAGAGTGTGCCTTTACTGACCACCTCATGGGGGCCGTGTCTCACAACAGTCCCACCAGTGAACTGCGAGGAGTGGTGCGAGAGAATGGCACGGTTCGCTGCAGCCGTGGCTCTCGCTGCTATGGATTGTGGGTGAAAAGACCGGACGGTGAAATACACCTGTTAAAGCAAGGTGAGATGTACAAAATCACACACACTCAAAAGGCTTGTATTTGTCCACTTATACGTGTCTCCTTGTCCAGGTTGTTGGACTCACATTGGTGACCAGCAGGAGTGCCATGGTGACCATTGCCTGGTAACTCCAACACCCTTTCAGATCCAGAATGGCAG